GCTGGCTCCGCCCACTTCACACATAGGAGTTGCTGTGTCCGGAGCTCAGAGACATGAGCTGGCGAGGACCCGGCTTGGCTGACTGAGCCCTGCGCTGGTGCTGACCCGAGGCCACCTCGCCTCCTGCTGAGCCACCAGACTGCACAAATGACCTTTTCCTGGCCACCTGACCCCATCACACTGGTGCCTCCCAGGCACTTCCTAGGACAGGGCAGGCAGCATTTTCCATGCCACGGCCTGGCATTTACTGATTCGGAAGGCGCAGGGGGTGACAACGTGGCAAGAAGGGTCCTGGCAAGTTTGCTGAGTCTGAGGTCCAGGCTCGCGGCACTTGGGGCCTCACTGCCATCCCGACCCACGCACCAGCAGGAAACCTCACTCAGGACCAGCTCAGTGATTCGGCTGGTGGTGAACTTAGCCCCTGCTTTGCCGAGACCGGCAGGACCGGACACAGCACCCGGGGGCCAGATCCCGAGGAGGCATCACCGTTCCTCCGTGGCCACGCCCCACTGGGGAGCTCGCTCTGGGGCCCTGATGTCCTCCGTGGACACAACAGGGCTGGGCCAGCCACTCCCCAGCCCACGGCGCCCACCTCACCTCTCGGTCCAGGCCGGCCGCCACCGTCACGATGTCCCCTGTCTCACTGTTGATAGTGAACATGTTCTGGGACGGGCTCTGCGGGGTCTGCGTGAGGATCCGGTACCGCACCATCCCATTGGCCGTGGTGCCGTCATCAGCATCATTGGCCGTGACTGTCATCACGTAGGTGCCTGGGACAGAGAGAGCAGTTCAGAGGGAAATATCTGCCTCGGGGCGCCGCGCTCGCTCACCGGGGTGGCTGGCACCAGTCGATCCCCCTGCGCCTGGGTGTAATGCTCCCCCTTCCCCACATCTGTGCCGGGTGCCTACGGTCATCCGAGGGGGCACTGAGAGCAACCTGGCCCGCTGCCCCAGGGGGACCCACGAAAGGGCTTCTCCGGGCTCTCCGCCCTCTGAGGCCAGTGGCTCTGACTTCCTCCTTTCGAGGCTGGGGAGGACCGGTCCCCGGAGAAGCCAAAACAGCCTGGGGCAGCAGGCCCAGGCCCGAGTAAGGCTCTCTCCTGAACCACTGGGCCCTGGCACCACTCTGGTGTTCGCCGAGGCTCTACCGGCCCCGTGTGGAACGCGTTGTGGCCGGAGCTCGAGGGCGCACAGGGACACAGGGCCTGGCCCAGGCGGGGACTGCGGTGAGCACCTGAGGAAGGCCCATGGGAGACAGACTCAGAGCAGCCCTTGGAGGTGAGGCTGCACATGGGGGACGCAGAGTCAGAGGGGGTGAATTCGGGGTGCGGGGGGGATGAGTACCGGGTTTCATTTCAGAGCCAGGGGCTGGGTGAGTGGCCATGTCCTTCCTCAGTCAGTGCCTCAGTTTCCCCATCCATGTACTAGGGTTGAGGTCTGCAGAGGGCACTGGCACGTCCCCCCCATCTGAGGGCAGCCCTTGCAGGTTGTCTGGGGTCCACTCTTCTCACCCTGGGAGGCCTGGTGGGTCAGTAATCCCTCCCCCTGGGCAGGCGGAGCCAGTGACAGGGGAGGAGGTGTTTGTTTGCAGGGGTTTCTGGGAAAACAAAAGGCCCGTGGATGGGCACTGGGGCCACAGTCCCTCCCACCCATCTCTCCCCTCCACACATGCATGTATATATGTATATATATGTGTATGTGTGTGTGTGTGCATCCAAGAGTGAGGATATTTTTTCCATAGATTCTAGAGAGAGCGGAAGGGCGAGGGAGGGGAGGGAGAGAGAGAGAAGCGTCAGTGTGACAGACACATTGACTGGTTGCCTCCCGCATGTGCCCGACTGGGGCCGGGGACTGGATCTGCAACCCAGGTTAACTTAGGTTAAGAGATTACTAGTGTCCCCTGCCAGGAGCAAAAGTAAATCTTCTGTGGAGAAAGATATCCCACAGAACTCAAACGACCTCTCCAGTTCTTCCTACACAAGGTGTCCAAGAGCACAAACCAGCCTGAAACCAGAGAGAAAAGACAGGCAACCGCCAGCCGGAAGAGAGGCAGGTAGAGAGCAGCCAGGTGCAGAGCCAGGTGCAGACCTGAAAACAAACGCATCTCAGCTTAATAAACTCAAGGAATTAAAAGGGTGAGATGGATTTTTTTTCAGAGAACTGGAAATTATGAAACAAATAGAACAGAAAGTTTATATTTGAAAAAGTATTGAAATTGGACTGTGAATGGACTGCCTAGCAGGTGAAACGTGTCTACGTGGAGCGCTAACAAGCCGGCAGCTGTGCCAAAGAGCGTGCCCAGCCCACAGGGGAAGCTCAAGGCTTGAGTAGGTCCACGCGTGCTGGCTGGGGCTCAGGACGACCAGGGAAGGAGGGGCAGACTCAACATTTGAGGAGGTAATGGTTAAAAAATGTCTAAAACCAAACAGAGGCATCAAGCCAGAGGTTCAAGAAGCACTAAAAATTCTAAGTGGGATAAATATGAAGAAAACCACAGCAAGTCCTGTCACAGTGAAACTGCTAAAGAGAAAGATAAAAACTTCAAAGCAGCCGGAGAATTTTAAAAATCGCATAAAACTTTTAGTGGAGCAACAGGCTTTCTCTACAGGATTTCTCAGTAGAAGCGATGGAAGCCAGAAACGATGGGAGGAAAGACAGTAATGGACAACCCAGAATTCTTTATTTTAAGCTCTCTGAAAATAAAAGTGAAATAAAGACTTATTTACACAATCAAAACAGGCCATTCATTACCTGGAGACCCAGACCAGCTGGCTGGCAACAAGACCCACCCTTCAGTTTCCGGCTCATTAAAAATTGTCTTAGATCTGGGCATCCATCCACCTTCTTGGCTAAGCTCAGAAATCTGATTCTTTAAAACCAAATGATATACTTTTGATAATTCTTTCCTGGTTGCAAAAGTAAAACACATTCACGGTAACCAGCGCCTGTTCCCTGGAAGTCTCAGGAAGTACCACGCCCACCAAGGACCCTGCCCCTGGACACGCCCCCATCACACCTCTGCCACGGAGCCTGGTTCAAGTCTTTCCACCCATCACCTTTGCTTTTCCTGCCTTTTAAAACCAACTTTGTTACTGATCAAAGAAATAAAGGGAAGACATTTTGCACATACCAGAAGAGCAAACATTATTTTAAAATAACGATGGGACCTTCTGGGGGGGACACACAGGGGACCTGCCCCCAAGGCCTCCAGGAGCAGATGGCTTCAGGTCCTGGAGGCAGTTCAGCCTTCTGTGTCCAAAGGCCCTCCCATGCGCCCACTGCTAGGAAGTCACCCTAAGGAAAAGGCCACAGATGTTTGGTAGAAAGACTGAATTGTGCCATGGTGCCCACGTGGACATGGCTCCTGGTGGCAAAAGGTGAGCCCTCAACAGTATTTACTGAAAACCTATTATGCGCCCTGCGGGATAGGGCTGGTGTGGCCCGAGAGGGACCTCCCGCCTCCTCCAGCTGGTGGCAATCTTTGTTTTCCTGGCCTTGTGGCAGCCTCTGTCCTCATGTGGCCATCTGCCCTCTCTATAAGGACAGTCATAGTGAATCAGGGCCCACCGTACTGGCCTCATTTTAACTAGTTACATCTGCAAAGACCTTATTTCCAAATAAGGCTCCATTCTGAGGTTCCGGGAGGACCTAATTTGGGGGTCTCCATTCCACCACTACAGGGATTAGGCTGAGGCCGAGGCAGGCAGCGAACCAGGCCATCTGGGTTCGCAGGGCTAACAAAGCCCAGCAGCAGACAGTCCTTTCCAACCAACCATGTTTCTATGACCTTGGGGGACTTTGGAGCAGGGCTGGGCTTAGGGCTCGGGCTGGGTACTCAATCTGATCAAATCCCAGCTGTCACTCCCAGTGCCTGGCTTCAACAGGCTCCTCCTCTGGAAGCCAGGCATCTTTCATGGGGTCACTGGGAGGAGCAGAAGAGCCACCAGGGATCTGGGCACCCACGGTGTGAGCAGGGTGGCTTGTGTGTCTGGGAAACCGTGACCATGGCATCCAAGGTCCCCCCCTGGTCCCCTTGCCTGCTCCAGCTGGCGGGCCTGAGTGCATGCACAACCACCAGCCCCCAGCTCCCTGATGCCACAGTGCGTCTGGGGACAGTGCCCAGCTACCTGGAAACAATTTGTGCACGGTCCCAGCTTGTGCCCTTTGCTGAGGAATCGGTGGCGCCGTGGCAAGGGCAGCCACGTGAGTGGCCCCATCACTCGGCTAGAGAACCTGGAGGCGGCCACCCTCGCTGGCCTTTCTCGGGAAGCCTCTGCCTCTCTGCGCAGGAGAAGGAAAAGCTTGGATTTTTCTTAGCAAATGAGACAGAACGTTGGGATTGTCTTTTCGTCTCATGAGGGACACAGGTTGCCGGACTTCACTTTATTAATTGTGTCGACAGGATGGGGAGGAAGGCTGGGCCGGGTCCTTCCAGCAGGAGTTCATGTACGCGTGCTGCCAGGCGCCTTAAAGGATTAATTTCACAAGCCTTAAATTGCAGTTTAATTTGAAAACTAATTCAGCCTCATAATTGGCTTTCTGCTCAAATCACTGGGGCTAAAGATTTAAATTCTTAATATTCAGATGACTTCTGAGTACGTGCACCATCTGTGCGTTGGTCCGTGGCACTCATCTCAGGGGTCCTCTGCCGGCGCGGAAATAAATAAATAAATAAAGGCCCCGTAAAAGAATAATCTATGTAAGAGCAAACCCCGCGTCATATAGATGAAGGTTTCTTTGACTTCATTTGCTGCTTGTAGGTTTTTCTGCTATTTAATATTTCAAACTAAAATTGATTCAAAAACTTATAATTCATGCCCTCAGACAGTTATAAGGGGTGAGGGAAGCAGGAATTCCCCTGAGGGCCTTAAAAAAAATAATACGAAGTTTTATTGGGAAGTTAGAGAAACTGGTCTGGGCTGGGCTGGGCAAGGTGGTGGAGACAGCAATTTGGACTTTTAGCCAGAGAAGGGTTGGAGGGTGTGGCTGGTGCAGAGAGGGGGGCTGGTCCGCTTGTGCGGATGTTGCCTTGAGGCTCCTCCTGAGCCCTGGGAGCTCATTTTCGGGAAAGCAGCTACTGGGCAGTGTGGCAGGAAGTGTGTGACTCAGGGTGTTGCCAGGATGACCGCCCAGCCAGTTGCCGATGCTACAGTCTGGCTGCGGGCCTGGCGGATGCCCGCCTCCTTCCCCACAGGAGTGGACCCTCCTGGAGGCCCCGTAGACCCCACTGCCTCGCAGAACCGAGGGCTGAGCCTCGCCAGGCGCGTCAGGTAGCAGGCATCACCACGTACTCAGTGTTCGCCTAAAAATAAAGGCCTTTCAAAGTGAGAGGCAACAGGCATTTATTTGAGATCAATAAGAATAGCTATTCTGAAATCATTAATCAGGCAGAAGCCCAGATATTTCCCATGAGGAGACAAAGGTGATGGGTACTCATGGGACAGGGAAGGACAACTCCACCCACGGCAGGAAGGCGCTGCTGTTGGTGCCGACTCGGTAACACAGTGACGCTGATTCTAAACAGCGTTTTAATTCTCAGCCTGGGAGTCACAATGTGTGTTTTCTTGTTATCTTTGCAAACAGTAGTTGGGGATACAATGTTGCCCCAGGCCCAGCCCAAAGGTTATTTTGCAAAGGTTTGAGGCTTCAGGAAGAGGGAGCCTACCCGAGAGGAGACAAACGGTGGCCAGTGCCCCAGACAATTCCATCCGAGCCCTGGTGTCTCCGTGCCCCACACTCCACCCACCTCTGGTCTTCCCAGGTACACGAGCCAATGTGATCCCTTTTCCAGGGCCGCTCAGGTGGGTCTCGGATCCCTGTTTGCTGGAGAGAGCTGAGGGCTGTAATCAGAGGGGAGGGTGCTCCTGACCTCAGATCACAAAGCACGTTGGTCCAAGAAAGGGGCAGGGCCGTCCCGGGCCTTCCGCACCCTCTGAGTCTGTCTGATCCAGCTGCACCAAAGAGGATTTTGGAAAACTGAGAGGGGACTGGGTCTGGGAAAGAATGTGGGGTGATCCCAGCCCCCCGTAGGCTAATGTCCCCAGAGGAGACAAACCTTAGACGGCTCTTCTCGAACTGGGTCCACATTGGACGCCTTCCCCTGTTTTCTGTCAGAACGCACACCTGAGGCCTCCGGGAGCCCGTGGCCCCAGCGCCGCGGCTCGTTTCTGGGGTGCTTCTCTTTATTGCACACAGGCCTGGGTAAGCCTGTTACTGGAATTTAGGTCACGAGGGAAGAAACCGAGGAGGCTGTTCCCAGGCCTTGGGAGTCTCCTGCCTCCAGGACGCCGCTGGGCCCCGTTTGGACCCCTTGCCCTTGGCCAGGTGAGTGAGGACGTCGAGCTGGGTCCGAGGCAGCATGGCACAAAGGGGAGGCATCAGTGCTCCCCTCTCTGGGCGGCTCTGAGACCAGACCCANGTCCGCCCCTTGCCCTTGGCCAGGTGAGTGAGGACGTCGAGCTGGGTCCGAGACAGCATGGCACAAAGGGGAGGCATCAGTGCTCCCCTCTCTGGGCGGCTCTGAGACCAGACCCAGACTCTGGGGTCCCCCACAGGCTCCAAATGTCAGTCACATTAGGCCCAACACAGTCCCAGAGGGCACAGGAATGAGTGGGAAAGCAGGGCCCACCTCGGGATGGACGCCACCTCCCAGCCCCCTGCCAGCGTGCCAATGGCCGGGGGCCAGGGCGTGGGCGTCCCTCCACCTCTAGGCTTAGGGCTTATCAGGACTTTCGGGAGCAGACAGAAGCGTGCTGCCTCTGTCAGCCTAATGAGCGAGACAGAGACACGACAGGGAAGGCTTTCTCCATCGATTTGTTTTAAAATGAGACAAGGGAGGTTTGATTTGTGTGGAAAACCCAGGCACCTTCATGGAGTGTCCTGGGCCCTGCCATGCCTGCTGACACGGGAGTACCCCTAGTCGGACGCCCACTCCTCACCCCCCTAGAGAGGTGGCTGCTGGCAGCCCTCATTTGTTTTCTTTGCTTGCAGCTAATTTGCCCACCCACCACCTGCCCCTGCCCCTGGAGGGACCGCGGGGACCAGCCATCCAAGGTCCTGGCAGAAATAATGTCACATCCTGTTCCCTTTGCTGACACCAGGCTGGCCTTGCCTCAGGATCCTGAGACAATCAATCGAGAACACAATTCACCTTGTTGAAATGGCAGCCCCGAGACGGAGCTGTGACAACCGCCTCTGGCAGCGAAGTGATGATAAATGTTTGTCCTCGCTGCCCTAGATGGGGACGTGGCTGACCCCTCCGCGGGGGCCGGCCTGGGCCCCCTGTTCTGCTCCTCTGGCCTCTGTCTGCCCTGCGCCGCAGGCCTTAGCCCAGAAGCCCTCCTGGGACAGGCCCTCACTGGACCGCCAAGGAGCCAGCAAGGACTGTGGCTTTGCCACAGTCAGGTTCCAGGTGTTGTGTGGGGGCCACGTCCATGGGAAAGGACTTGCTGTTTGTCTGAACTTCAAGTGAACCTCGTGGCCTGTATCTTAGTGCTTCCAGCAGCCCCCTGAGGCCTCATCGGTGGCATGTGGCTCAGCTCCCAGTCCCACCCATCTGGACATTTGTCCCAAGGACAACCGGCCCCTCCCCATCAAGAGACAGCTGCTCAAACTTGGCACCTGCAGAAATTACCTGGCCCGTCTGCCCAGACTGGGGTCCCACCTGGGGAGTCTGAATCGATGGGTGTGGCTGTAACCTGCCCCCGGATGATGCTGCTGGTCCGGGGCCAAAGTTCCAGCATCGGCTGGGGATTCCCACCCATATCCACACCAAGGGGTCTGGGCTGCTCATTCCAGCTCCTTGGGCCTTGAGTCTCATCTTTGCTAAAGGGGAGAGGAAGAGCCCCACTTCTTGGTAGTTATGGGATCCAGAGACCACACATGTCACATGCTTAGCTTGAGCCCTGGCACATGAAAAAGTATGTCATCACTGATGCTGGGTGAAGTTAGTAAGAAGATGGGCTCTTGGGTCAGCTCTGAGGGGACTCGAGGGCCTTGGGCACACGGGCTCACCTCTCTGGGCTGGGGGGTCTGGCCTCTCACGGGCTCCCTGTGGTGCTTGGAATAAAACCTGAGGTGTGGTCCAGGAGATTTTGAGTAGCAGGACTTCTCCTCACCTCATCTCTGGCCCCAGGACCTTTGCATGTGCCTTCTCCTTCTCCAGCCCCTCTTCTCTGAGCCCTGATCCTTCTTACATTTCAGCTCTCAGTCTACATGTCCCCTCTGAGGAGGGGCTCTCCCTGACTTACGGGGTTCCCATCTGAGTCTCATCCCCACAGCTCCATGCCCTTGGTTCAGCTCATCTCTCCTCCACGTCACTGTCTGGACTGTGAAGGCCCCACCCCCCAGCACAGCATCTGCACGAGGAGGGTGCTTAGTAAACACCCGCTAAATGAGCCCTTGGTGGAGGGGCCGAGGGTTTGGGCTCACCCGGCTTGGAGCCCTCGTCCACGGAGCCGTTGTACACCTGGTTGAGGAACTCAGGCCGGTTGTCGTTCATGTCGATGACGTAAATGTACAGGTCGATGGGGTTCTCCACCTTGTTGCCGTTCATGTCCACGGCGTGGGCTCGGAGCTGGAAAGCAACAGGCGGAGTCAGGCCGGTGCCACCTCCGGGGGACACTCCTGACCAGCTGCCTTGGGGAGCCAAGGCAACAAGTTCCCTCAGACCCGAGACATTGGGGCGGGGGTGACATAACAGCTCTGGACCCCCAAGGGACAGGCTGGGTGAGGAACATGAGGGGTTGGGACACATTACAAAGCTTCTCTGAGTCTCAGTTTCCTCCTCTGTGGAAACGGGGGAGGTCAAGAGAGGGTGAAATGGGTGGCGTGCTGGGGGCTGACCGGAGGCCCGATGCTGAGGCCCACCCGGGGCGCCCGAGCCTGCACAGACGGTCCCTGCACCCCCGATGGCCAAGTGCACGTCCACCTACAGTGGCCACAGGGAAGCCGGTGGACCAGTCTGGGGTTGGGGCTTAGCTCCTGTTCTGAGAGGTCAGGCCTGGGGAGACCCAGACTGTGGGGAGTTTTGAACTTAGACCGGGGCTAAGGCTAACCTGGGGTCCACCACGAGTTCCAGCCAGAAATGCAAGAACCGCAGTCAGGCCTGGCGGGGAGAGGGAGGCTGCCCGGGCCCAGGAGGAGGGAGCTTTCTCTGCAGCCACAGCCGTGAAAAACAAATGGTTGCATCTAATCTCGAACAAGGTGAACCTGATCAGCAAGTGGCCTCCTCCTGGGGCCCGTGTGGAGCCAGAGCTCTCCGATGGATGCCCAGGAGGCTGGAGGTGACCTGCTAATCCAGGGCGGAGACCACAGGGCTGGGGGCACCTGGCCGTTAGCTGAGGGAGGTGATGCTGGGGGGGGGGCCTGTGCAGAGACCTGGAGTCGCCCACAGAGGGGGCAGGCCTTTCCCCCTCCCTCTTCCTTCTGACGCATTCAGTAGATGCTCACAGGGCCCAGCCACTGGCTGAGTGTCCCTGCAGACCCGGAACAATACGGTATGTTCTAGAAGGGCCTGTGCCCCGGGAGAGCGAGAGCGAGGCCAGAGAGGCAGAGAGCCC